ACACAAGGGGTGGAAACCAAGGCGTCCCATTGATGTATTAACGCGGGACCAATTTCTCAGGTTGCCGCCAGGGACTCGTGAATATGCAGTATTGCTAGGTTGTTGGATCGGACGTCGGGGACCCCCCTGACCATCCGGGATGTCCGACCGGACAGGGTATGTCCGCCCTGGCGCGCGCGCGCAAAAAAAAAAAAAAGTTCTCAGAAAAATCTGAAAAAAATATATGTTATGTAACAAAACAATACAAAGCAACGTTTGCCTTGGAGTCATGTTCAAATTCGCAGCCAATCATGAGTTAAAAATCAAAAACCAAAAAAAATATATATATTTTTTTTTCGACAAAAAAAAATTGTTTTTTCGGACGACGGGGGTACAGGACGTATGGGGAGACGTCCGAGAGAGACGACCGGCCCTCGGACCATTGGTAACCTAGCAGTATTGTTTCAAGAAGACATTAAGAAAGTGAAAGAGAACCTAAAGAAAGCTCAAGAACAAATGATAGACCAAGCTAATAAGCATCGCCGACCATCGACATTCAAGGTAGGTGATTTAGTTTGGGTCAAGTCTAAAGAGTTCTCACTAGAAGAAGATGTGTCTCAGAAGCTCCTGCCTGTCTATTTTGGACCTTGGGAAGTTCTCAAAGTCATTGGGGATGCTGAGGGACCGTCTTATCGCATTGATATTCCCCCTCATCTTAAGACTTATCCTGTCTTTCATGCGTCCAAACTATTGCCTTATGTAGAAGGAAATGATTTTCCTAACAGACCCTCTATGATTCCACCATCAATGGAAAGAAGCTATGAAGTCGACAGAATCATAGAACACGGGTTCTTTTCTACAAGAGCACGCCGACGTCCTCAGAAGCAGTTCAAGGTACGTTTCAAATCTCAACAACCATCAGAGGACCGATGGTTCAGCAAGAAGGCACTACTTTAGACTGCTCCTGACATTGTTTCTGCTTATGAACGAGGGTTAAAGTCTTAATTATTTCTGCGGTGGAACTCGAAAATGGGACGGCAGGAATGTAGTAACCCTGTTCAGAAGTAGCCCGGGCCACGCAGACCAGAATTGGTCTGCACTGGGCTGTGTGACCAACACATGCCCAGAACTGAGAAGGCCGCACGTAGTGAGAAAGAAGAAGATGATGATGTACTCCAGCATAGACCAATGTCAAGGCTCTTCTTCTTCGCCAACCAATCCCTTCCTCCTTATCTCCTCCCTCGTATTCAAACAAGAAATAACAATAATAATGTTGAATGACTGAACCAGAATCCATGTCTGAATCCCACTTCTACTGCAGGCACAACATGAGGTCCACCATAGCCATGGCCACCCGTCCTCTTCCTCTACATTCAGGCCGAGGCTATGGCGGACTATTGAGGCTTCAGCCTCCTGTCCAAAGGACAACCCAAAGCAGCTATGCCGCTGCCCCACTTCAAGGTCATCACCATGCAGCTATGCCGCTGCCCACTCAGCCACCATGCCTGACTCTGTCCGAGCTTCCTTGATGCGGCACTACCCCAACGGGGGCCTTCCTGATGCAGCGCCTAGCAAGGAGATGATGGTGTCTACCATAGCCAGGTAAGTGCCTCGCCACTCTCCTCCTTGGTCCCCTTCTCCCTCCTCCTCCTACTGGTAGAGCTCCACCATAGCCAAGGTGGAAGCTCCCGGCTTCTTCCTCCCAGCAGCGCTGTAGTACCCAGTGCCACTCCAGCCAGCGCTCCAGCAGCGTGTCGCCAAACTTGCACACTGAAGAATGAGGCTGGGCTCTCCGCCCGGCCTCTTGATATAGCGGCCTACTTGCCTCCTGGGCGGTGACTTCCAGGCCGCTCGGCCTCCCCAAGCAACCGGTACTTCCTCCGTTTCGGAGGGAAACATCATTGCAGACCCTGATATTACCCGTACAGGCCCTAGACTCAGACTGGTTGGACTGGTACCGGCCTAGACCTACCCTACCGCTACTGGACTCTAAAAATGCCARCTTTGTCTTCTTCTGCTCGGCCTCCAGTACCCCCTTCGTGCCAACTGCAGTGGGGTGCGGTATCGGCCTACCTGCCCACTTGAGTGTTTTTCCGCTACTCCAAGGGGCCGCGGGGCCGCTAGCTTCGCCACTTGAGTRTTTCCCCTGCTGCAACCCTCAATGCCACGGCCACAGGTAAGTACCGGCCCTACGGGCCTGCCAAACGAGCAAGTACCCTTCYGGGTCACACACACACTCAGGCAGACAAGCACTCAGACAGGCACGCAAGTCCACAGGCACGCACACACACAGACTTAGAAAACACAGCAGAATGCGGGAATCTCAACAAGGCATCCATTCCATCAGCAGAACTTCAGAAATCAGCAGTGTTCTCAGTCTGTGCTATGACGGGTCATTATACACAGATCAAAGTAGATAGTGGAAGCACAACCATGCACAGATGGGGAGAGGACACACAGTGTTTCTCACTCTCTGACGATACTCCCAACAACCAATCACAAGAAAAAACCTGCGAGGATAACAATTGGAATACACACTGATGATGAGCCAGTTAACCAGAAATCGTTACAGAGTTTGTTCCAGTGTCTCGCCACTCTCAGAACCTCACACTCCACTCACTACCCTACACCCAGTTAGTAGCACCACATCAGAACGACCTCCCAGGGGCCAGTGCCAACCACCCAGATGAAGAACAGATCCGGCGTTAAAGTCTTCAATGCCGCTGAACAATTCTGATGAAGAACCCGGCAGCTATGGCTGCCGCCACCCACATAGACTCAGTGAGGAGTCTCCACACAACCCAGCTAATCGCAGAAACCCACAGGGGTTGATGCGCGGGGGATGCCCCAGCTATGGCACGCCCTCAGCCGGCTGGCTATGGCTGCTGTCCACGGTGAGCGTCTCAGGGTACCGCCTGCAGACAATCGCCGCTGCAATCCTCCTGGCTCCAGAACGTTGTCTCCCGAAAATGAACTGCCAAAAGTCCCAACCCCATTCCCCCAAACTATTAATAGACTCTACTACTCTAGCCTAGACCTAGACCGGACTGACTGACCGACCGGTACCGTTTCGGTTTCGGCCTCTCGGCCTCTACCGGACCCGTCTATAGGCTATAGGTCCGTCTATCAGCTAAGGCCCTTAGGGCCTGTCTGTCCTAGGGGTAGCCTGGGCCTGCTAAACGCAGTGAGGATAGCGGTAGGAAATTCGAAGTACTGCTGGGCCTATTTTCCCCATATTTGCAGATATGTCCCTCATGAATTTTCCTTACAGGTAGGTCTCTCGGTTAGCCCTCAGCCATACAAAATTACAAATCTAACCTACTGCTGTACTGTACAGCCTCGCGGTTAGTCTCGGCAGTCGAAATCAGCAAGTCATTGCATCTCTCTCTCTCTCTCTCTCTCTCTCTCTCTCTCTCTCTCTCTCTCTCTCTCTCTCTCTCTCTCTCTCTCTCTCT